ATAGTGATATGGAATATAAAGTCCAGTCTGAGGTAATCTTACATGGAGATGAGGAACTTGTTGGGAACTAGAGTAAAGATGACTCTTGCTATGCAAAGCACCTGGTAGCATTTTGCCCTTACCCTAGAGATGTATGGATCTTCAAACTTGAGAGAGATGATTTAGGATATCTGGCAGAAGAAAATTCTAAGTGGCAAAGCATTCAAGAGAAAGCAGAGCGTAAAAGTTTTAAAAATTTGCAGCCTGATGATTCAGTAGAAAAGAAAAACCCATTTTCTGGGGAGAGATTCAAGCCAGCTGCAGAAATTTGCGTAAGTTACAAGGAACGGAATTTTAATCACCAAGACAATGGGGAGAATGTCTCCAGGACAAGTCAGAGACCTTCACAGCAGGCCCTCCCATCACAGTCCCAGAGGGCTAGGAGGAAAATATGAATTCCTGGACTGAGTCCAGGGTCCCCCTGCTGTGTGCAGCCTTGAGACTTGGTGCTCTGCATCCCAGCTGCTCCAGCCATGGCTAAAAGGAGCCAACATACAACTCAGGCCACGGCTTCAGAGGGTGCAAACCTCAAGCCTTGGCAGCTTTTATGTGGTGTTGGTTCTGTGGGTATGCAGAAGACAAGAATTGAGTTTTGGGAACCTCTGCCTAGATTTTAGAGTATATATAGAAAAACCTGGATGTTCAGGCAGAGGTGTGCTGCAGGGGTGGATCCCTTAGGGAAAACCTCTACTAGGGCAGTGTAGAAGGGAAATGTGAGGTTGTAACTCCATACTGAGTCCCTCCTGGGGCACTGCCCAGTAGAGCTATGAGAAGAGGGCCACCATCCTCCAGATCCCAGAATTGTAGATCCACTGACAGCTTGCGCCTTGCACCTGGAAAAGCTACAGACACTCAGTGCCAGCCTGTGAAAGCAGCCAGGGAGCAAGGGAATGTGAGGGGTGTACCCTGCAAAGCCACAGGGGTGGAGGTGCCCAAGGTCATGGAAGCCCACCAGCATGACCTGGACGTGAGACATGGAGTCAAAGGAGATCATTTTGGAACTTTAAGGTTTAATGACTGCCTTATTAGATTTTGGACTTGCATGGCACCTGTAGCCCCTTTGTTTTGGTCAATTTCTTCCATTTGGAATGGCTGTATTTACCCAATGCCTGTGCTTCCATTGTATCTAAGAAGTAACTAACTTGTTTTAAATTTTACAGGGTCATAGTGGAAGGGACTTACCTTGTCTAAGATGAGGCTGGACTATGGCCTTTTAGTTAATACTGAAATGAATTAAGACTTTGGGGGACTGTTGGGAAGGCATGCCTGGGTTTTTAAATGTGAGGACATGAGATTTGGGAGGGGTCAGGTGCAGAATGATATCATTTGTTCCCCACCCCAATCTCACCTTGAATTGTAATAATCCACACATGTCAAGGACAGGGCCAAGTGGAGATAACTGAATTATGCAGGTGGTTTTCCACTACTGTTCTTGTGGTAGTGAATAAGTCTCATGAGATCTGATGGTTTTATAAAGGGCAGATCCCCTGAACATGCTCTCTTGCCTGCTATCATGTGAAATGTATCTTTCTCCTTTGCTTTCTATCATGATTATAAGTCCTCCCCTGCCATGTGGAACTGTGAGTCCATTAAAGCTCTTTTTTTGTATAAATTACCCAATATCAGGTCTGTCTTTATTAGCAGCATAAGAACAGACTAATACAGCCTCCCTTTAGGGCAAACATTGGGTAGATTGACTTGCAGCCCACTATAAAAAAGTTGTGGTGTTCTAAGCTCAGATTTCCTCAGCTTTGACAAAAACCAACTATGTCTAACCCACAGCATTCATCTAAAGCTACCTATGTCACCGTTGAGAGTCTTAGAGAGCATGAGGAGCTGACACAAACATGAATCTCATGCTACCTACTGTGCTGTCAGTAGTAAAGTCCTTTGTCTCTGAACCAGGAGTTTCATATCTTCTGTCAGCATCCATAAAACTATGTGGACTAACATATTATTTTGCAAGTAGGGCAAAATCATGAATCCTTCACACTACTTGACATATACCACCTCCTGTAAGCTATATTTGTTATAAATTAATATCCATAAATATTTATGTTTACATTCACATATATCATATATGATACTTTCTCACTTAAAAAAAGGTCATAAAAATCACAGTCTATCCACAACACACACAAACACGATGATCATTTTAACCCCAAATGTTTGTTTGTTTGTTTGTTTGTTTGTTTGTTTTTTGAGACAGAGTCTCTGTTGCCCAGGCTGTAGTGCAATGGCATGATCTCGGCTCACTGCAACCAGCACAGTCCCTTGCTCAAATAAAATGTTTGTTGAATGACTGAATGAATTTAAAATTGGAATAACGATTGCACATTATTTACTATAAAATTATCAAGTCACTGATACCTCTAGTTACTACTGATACTCTTGATAGAATGAAAGAAAGTTAATATTGACTTCAGGTCTCCAAAACAGTAACCCAAATATAGTCAGTATCTTCCAGAAGTGGGCATGTTGGTTTTAATAAGAATGTATAGAGGCATCTCATTCCTGCATGACAAGGATTAGGGTTGGGTTTTTTCATTTTCTGCAAATATTTTGGACTTTTGACCTTCAGTTGTTGCCACATTATCATGTAGAGCACCAAAAGCATTGATTATTAAATATCTCATTCAACCTTTTTTTGACAGTCTTCTCTTTGTAAGGCAGTATTAGCCCCTTGGGATTTAAACAAATTAATGAGTAAATTGCAATTCAAAAAGCAACACATTATATAATACAATTAAAAACACTGCAGCATTAGAGAGAGGAACAAGTAAGCCTCAGTATTGGGGCATGTGGTATGTACAATATTGATATCGACATTCTAACTCAGTTTGAAGGCCTCATTCACTTTTTATTCTACTTTTGGCATCTTACCTCTTGATTTTATGATACTGGTAAAACAATCCACTCCCTTTTTCTCTGTCGTGACATCCTACTTTAGTTTTTCCTACCAGCCTTTGTTTGCTTTTTATCTCTCAAAGAATTTCATTCCAGGCACTTTGTTGTTCTGATTTTTCTGGGGCTGACCATACAGGGTCACCTCCTGTTTGGACCTGGTGTGGTTTGGAGTAAAGTATCTGTGTTTCTAAAAGCCTGTGATGTAGGTTCTAACATACAGACCTGTTTGAGAACTTATACTGTAGGGTCTCCTATGACCCCACCCATTTTGAATTGAAATGGATTATGCATACCAGTAAGCTCATCCTAGTACTTGATGTTTACCCAGTTAGTTTCTCTCCACCATATAGACTCCTTTTCTCCCATTCTCCTTTTTGACTAGAAGAGCCAGGGCTAGAACTTTGTGTTGTTCTGATTAAGAGTTGACATCCTCTTTCTAGGGAAAAAACTAGAATCCAGGTGATTTTTGTCTTACCATTGCAGTTTGCACAGAACCAGACTCACAAGGAATTAATAATCACAAGCAGAATTTAGTGTTAAACTCTTGCCGTCCTAGACCAAGTACAGAAGAAAGGGGAGGAGCAAAAGAGAAGTGGAAAAGATTACAGCTTTCTACCTCTCCTGGTAGAATAGCACACAGAGAGAGTAAAGAAAGGACTGGGAGTTGCCATGGCAGCCTGAAGCTCCTCACAGAAACCAAGAACTGCCTTGTCCAGACATGAGAGGAAAAGCACTTTTCTCAGTGAGTCTCAGCAGATCCTGTGGTAGCTTCATAGACTAGAGGTGTACTCCGCTTTAGAGAGATAGCTGTAGTGACGGCCGTCTTTATTAATGCAGAAAGCCACACATTTCTGATTGTGAACAGGCAACCAGTGGTTAGGATGAGCAATCACAGGAAACCCACCCACCACTCTCTTAAAAGCATGTAACTATAAATTGTGCACATTCTTATATTTTAAACATGTTTACATGTAAAGTTAAGGTGCTGAATTATAATCACATTGCAGCACTCATTTATATTTATGTCCTTTAGCCTTCCAACAATCAGAGAAAGTATCATTACGCAGTGGAATTTATTTCGATATCCAGGTGCTCTTTAAAACACTGACTTGAGGATCTCTGTCATTTTAAGTGGCCAATGGAAAGCTAAGTGGTGTGAGTGGGTCCAGGGGTTCTTACTTTCATGGCTCTGTAATCTGAGACTCAAGGGCTGCTGTTTGATTAATTGAGTAACTGATTTTATTTATTAATTCATAAAACATTTACCGAGTGCCTATTATGGGCTAAGCATTATGTAAAGTGGTAAAGATAAGAAAAAAAAATCATCATCTCAGTGAACTTTTGCTGTAGACAAGGAAACAGTTTCAAAACATTGCTATAATCCCAGCACTCCAGGAGGCCAAGGCAGGTGGATCACTTGAGGTCAGGAGTTCAAGACCAGCCTGACCAACATGGTAAAACCCTGTCTCTAGTAAAAATACAAAAATTAGCTGGGCGTGGTGGCAGGCACCTGTAATCCCAACTACTTGGGAGGCTGAGGCAGGAGAATTGCTTGAACCTGGGAGGTGGAGGTTGCAGTATCTGATGGATAGCTCCATATATGAGTTAAACCTGAAAAGGTTGTATAGGCTGAAGATACATATTTGAGACCAGAGATGAATTGGTAGAACAGACCTTTCAGGGAGTATATTAAAGAATCAAGTATGAAATTCAAGACTGGTGTTTCTCAAGCTTTAGGGTGTGTGCAAATCGCCCCAGTATCCTGTCAAAATACAAGTTCTGATTCAGTAAACTTGGAGTGGGGTCTAATCGTCATAATTTCCAGCAACCTTCCAGGTGATACTGATGCTGCAATTATGCAGACCACACTTTAAGTAGCAATACTGTAGGAAACACTCGTGTTTAAGGACAGGAAGGTGAAGAAAAGTCCACTAAAAGGATTGAGTAGAAGTCAAAGATTTAAGAAGAGAGTTGGTGCTGGTGGTGGGGGGTGTGGGGGACCATAAATAGGAGTATTGTCTTGGAATCCAAGAAAAGATAATTTCGTAAAGAAGAAAATGTTCAACAAAGTCAAAGGCTACTAACAAGTAGAGTAAGAATGGTCTAGTAAATGTCTACGAAATTGGCAATTTGAAAGTAATTTTGAACTTTGACAGAAGAGTTTTTGTATGATGGAGAGAGAAGTAAATTATAGTGGGAGGCTAATTAACAGTAGTTACGGAAATAAATGGTGGTTAAGGAAATAGACACAGTGAGAATGGATTTTTTTGTTCGTTTGTAAACAGCAACGACAACAAACATTTTACTGTGATAGGAAAGAGAGAAATCAGGTGACAGTTTAGGAGAGACAAAGATTTTGAAAGTGTCATTATTTTTAAGATTATAAAAGACATGAGGTTTGTGGTAGGTAGAGTAATTCCTTCTTTCCTAATCTCCTGGAACTGTAAATGTCCTGACCCTCCTGCAAACAGTACTTTGCAACTGTGATTAAATTAAGGATTTTGAGATGGAGAGATTATCCTTGGATTATTCAGATGTGCCCTGTGTAATCACAAAGATCCTTTAAAGAAGGCAGCGGAAGAAGAAGAAAGAGTACTGTGAACCAAGAAATGCCAGTGGCCCCTAAGAGCCACAAAAGGCAAGAAACTGATTCTTATCTTAGAGTATCCAGAAGGAACACAGCACAGCACTGCAGACACCTTGGTTTTAGACCAGTGAGACTTCTGACATCCTTTCCCAAGTGTAAGATAAAAATAAATTTGTGTTGTTTTAAGCCAAAAAGTTTGTGATAATTTGTATTGCACCAATAGGAAACTAGTACAATAATCTTTAATATGTGAATCAAAGAAATTGTAAGGGACAGCAAGTAATATATTTTCTTCATTCATCAAAGGGTCACAGCTGACACTCCCATAACAAAGACAGATTAACAAGAGAAAAGCATAACAAATTTACTTAACCAAAGCTTTTTGTGACATGGCAGGCATCATAAATGAAGACCCAAAGACCCAAGAGAAAACTGTGTATTTTTATGGACAGCCATACAGAAGTGTGATTGGAGAACAAAAACCCATGTTCTAATGGTAATAAAATGGAGGAAATTCAGGAAGTCCTGTTAATTCAAATTCTTCTTTGCTTCCAGGAATAGGGCAAGGCCTTACTTCTGGAATGGGGACCTTATGACCTACTTTAAAAGGAATTTTTTTATGACCATGCTTGAGAGAAGATGGGAGAAGATCAGAGAGTGACCTCCTAAGAAGAATGAGGTTGAGAAGAAAAAATAGACTCTCCTACTATGGAGATGCAGAGTTTTCTTCAAGACATTAGGTGTAAAGCTATGGGCAGAGTAACTATAAACCACCTTTTCATGTGCATCCTTGTCTATGAAATGGGGGCCATAATGCCATGTTCATGAAGATAAAATGAAGTAACATAAAATGGCTAGGCAAACAAGATGAGTGCAAAGGTGTGGTTCTCTTGCCCATTTTACGTGCTTTCTGGAAGAATGTTTTGCTACAGTCCAGGGCGTGGCAGCTGCTTCATTGTAACTCAACACTGGAAACTGGCTCCCCCAAATAATCTCCACAGTAAGCTGAGCTCTGTTGAGTGTATCAAAAATTGAGAGGGAGAGGACCTTGACCCTGGCGTGTCTGAACTACTTCTCCTCTGAATGTTCCTAGGCTAAAACCAAACATTCTTAGTAGATAATCTGTTCCCTTAGCCCTTTCTGTTTCTACCTTGTCGCATGCCCTCTCCTCCTTCCCAGATTCACATTTAATAAGGAGAAGGTCTCCCAGCAGCTCCTCTGGACCGAGCCACACCTCTGGTGTGGTGCTGCGGCTGCAGGAGCCCGCTGCGAACCTCCTGGTTTCCATGGAGACCCTGCTTGGTGTCAATGGCGGCTCGGGAGCGCGAGGGAAACCTAAGCGTTTGTATTTAAATGAGGGAAAGTGGGGGAAGGGGAAGCAAGAGGAAGGGAACAGGAGAGAGGTGGATGGTGGAGGTGAGCCGGCGGGTGTTCATGGACTTAGGGGACTAGAAAAATCCAGCTGGGTTACTCAGTCATCTCGGGATCGCAGGTCAGAGGAGGCAGCAGGGGACAGAGAGGTGTTTATTTCGTGCGTGAGAAATATCCGACTCCTTTCTGACATCCGGGAGTAAGGGATAGGCAACTAGGAATTCCTTTTCATGTGCCTGGCTCCTGGCGGACAGTGCTGCTTGGTTTTGTTTCCAAGAAGCAAGGGAGAGTTCTCACTTTGCCCAGAGTCTCAAACCTTAAAGATTCATCGCTGCTATGGGAGGGGGCATACCTCTGTCTTTCACTCTCGACCCTTTCCCGTGCAACATAACTAAATAGAAGCTCTGGAAAGACAGATTCCAAAAGCTCTGGGGTCTGGATTAACTGCTGTTTATTGGCTGACATTCTAGCCGGAGGTTGGGGGAGTAGGAGGAGGTTGGGCAGAATGTATGCCAAGATTGAATTGCACTAGGGTTCAGATGACGTCAGCTTGAATAAACGTCTGACCTAGCGAATGTTAAATGCGTCTGAGTGAGTGAATCTTCCGAAGGGATCGATGGCAGAAACCTCCGTGAAAGGACCATGCCACTTCTTTAAAATATTAAGCATGTGATTCTGCTTATCGCCCCTGCAACTCCCAGAGCTCTGGTAGAATCTCAGCTTTCTGCTATAGTCACTGGAACATTACTTACTGTCCTAGATAACTGTGGGTCACGTGGAGTTTGCACCAAAAAAGGAAGTCTCTGAAAAAAGAAAAAGCTGTTATAAGCCATCAGAATGCCTGCTAATATTACAAAGCGAAAGCAATTCAATTTAATAAACACTTTAAGAGGTCTACTTCAGGCTAAGTGTGTGCAAAATGAGTGAGATGTTCTTTGCCTTCAAGGTGCGTACACTCGGTTGGGGAGGTGGATATGCTCACAAATGACTCATGGTGCCTGGCAGCAGGTAATATATATCATGGGAACTCCAAGGAAAGTGCAATTAATTAGATACAGGGGGAAAAAGCAGTTCATATTAGATGTCTCTGAGGTCTAGACTTTTATAATCGATGCAGAGAAGTACAGGGAAAAGTTCTGCAGGGTTAGAATAGAAAAAATTTAACCCATTGCCTATTTGATATAAAGTTTCAGTTCTGTAAAATTGTCTTTCAAGTGGCATAGCAAGCTAATTTTCCTATTTTTTCCCTGTCTAACAATGTATTGCTATTGCTGCAATTCATAAGAAACTTTGGCTTGGCCTCTATTCCATTTTTACCACTTGCCTAACCCATTTTATTTTGATATTAGAGGTTCAAGCTTTCATGGTTTCATTTAAAAATAAACCCAGAAGGTAGAATTTTGAGAAAGAATGCTTTAAAATGTATTTGGGTTTAGGCTGAGTAAGAGCCATAGATATATGAAGGGCATTTAGATTCTTTTGTAGTTGAGACAGGGCTGAAATAAAGAAGATATTTGTGCCATTTGGGGCTCATTTTCAGAGTCATAGCATGTAAGAATTAAGAGATGAGTGACAGTCATAGCATGTAAGAATTAAGAGATGAGTGACAGTCATAGCATGTAAGAATTAAGAGATGAGTGACAAATGTTGAAGAAATTTTTGAACTATATAACACTTTCGGTCTGAATTTAGTGCATGTTGCTTAGTCATGAGTTATCAAGTTTTCATTAGAAAATTAGGAGATACGAATACATTAAAGGACACGGAGGCCAAAGGCTAATTCTTGGCCTTTGAATGGAAGATATCAGACAGTAATGAAATTAAAGGAGGGCAATTATTTCTAGAAAGGACAGGAAAAAGAAGCCGTATATGCTCAAACTAGTCATAGTTTCCGTGTCATTGAGATATTAGTTACTAAGGGCTTGTTTTCAAGTTGGCTGAGGAATATACCTATAATAAAAAGCATCTTCTCAGAGTTTTGGCAATGAAGCAGAATATTAGCAATTTTTTAATAAAAAGGGGCAGAAAGCCAAGAGTCAGCTTATTTTATTTTTATTGTTTTATTATTCTTATATTCATAGGGCTGGTCTATGAAACCACTTTTCCTTCCTAGGCCTCTGGGCATGTTGTGGGAGGTGCTGCTATGAAGGTCTCCGAAATGTCTTTGAGGCCATTTCCCCATAGTCTTGGCTATTAGTACGTGGTTCCATTTTACTTATGCAAATTTCTGCAATTTGCTTGAATTCCTCCCCTGAAAATGGGCTTTTCTTTTCTACCACATGGCTAGGCTGCAAATGTTCTAAACTGTCATGTTCTGCGTCCCTTTTAATGTAAGTTTCAATTTTACATCATTTATTGACTCATACGTATGAGCATAGGTTGTTAGCCAGGTCACATCTTGAACAATTTGCTGCTTAGAAATTTCTTCTGCCACATACCCTAAATCATCACTCTGAAGTGCAAAGCTCCACAGATCCCTAGGGCAGGGGCATAGTGCAGCCAGGCTGTTTGCTAAAGCACATCAAAAGTGATCTTTATTCCAGTTCTCGATAAGCTTCTCATTTCCATCCAAGACTTCCTCAGCCTGGACTTCATTGTTCATATCACTGTCAGCATTTGGGTCACAGCCATTCAACAAGTCTCCAGAAAATTCCAAATTTTCTCTTATCTTCCTTTCTTCTGAGCCTTTCACACTCTTCCAACCTCTGCTCATTACCCAGCTCCAAAATCACCTCCACATTTTCAGGTATCTTTATAGCAATGCCCCACTCCTGGTACCAATTTTCTGTATTAGTTCATTCTTGCACGGCCATAAAGAAATACTTGAGACTGGGTAATTTATAAAGAAAAGAGGTTTAATTGTCTCACAGTTCCACAGGCTGTACAGGAAGCATGGGAGCTTCTGCTTCTGAGGAGGCCTCAGGAAGTTTACAATCATGGCATAAGGCAAAGAGGGAATGAGACATGTAAAATGGCTAGAGCCAGAGAAAGACAGCAAGGTCAGGGGGAGATGCTACACACTTTTAAACAACCAGATCTCATGAGAACTCACTGTTATGACACATTACCAAGGGGGAAATCTGCTCCCACGATCCAATCACTTCTTACCAGGCCCTACCTCCAACACTGGGAATTGCAATTTGACATGAGATTTGGGTGCAGATACAGTTCAAAATATTGATCCTCTAGTTTATTCTCATCTTATTTTGAGACGGAAACCTTTCAGAGCTAAAAAGTATCTGTGGTCATCCAGTCCACCTTTTCATTTCACAGATAAGAGGGCAAGAGCCAGGAGGAAATGAGTGACTTTTCTAATACCACAGTCAGTTAGAGACAAAGGCAAGGTTAGAGCCCAGGTTTCTTACTGCTAGCCCAGTGATAGTTCTGCTACATCATTTCTTATACCTATAAAGGCTGACTGAATCCAAAGTTCCTTTCAAATTTAAATACTTTTCCATTTAACATCTAAATGTATTGTATTTTTACATTTATATTGTTTATTTGCGGCATGCAAAGTGTTTTATCTAATTTAACCCTCGTATCAATCTAAGTAAATATCAGCTAAAAAATGGCCTGCGGGGGACTTATCTACTTTTTATATGTGATATACTTTCCCCACAAATACCCAATTCTTATTTGTAAATATTAGGTGAATTAAAAATAAAATAAATAGACCATACTATTTCTACTCTTCTCTACTAGGAATTACTACCAACTAGGAACTCATTGGGCTTTAAGAAACTAAAACAGAAGTAGGAGAAGTGGACAGCCTGACAAAGCAAGGAAGAAAGAACAAATGATGTGGACAGCTTTTGCAAGTTGGTGCCATAGATGATAGTGGTTAAATTTTCTTGTCATTCTAGACATCTGTAATAGAGGAGGTATTATCTACCGTTGTTCCTGCATTGGTGATCCTTGTTATTTTGAGAAAGTTCTCTTAGCAGCTGATGAATTCAGCTCCCAGAAAAAAGCATAGGACTGATGCTGGAGACTGAGAGCACCTCCTCCCTACCATGAACCTACACTCTCAGAGGCCCAACCATCCCAGGCAGGATGGTTTCAATCACTCCTGCCATCCAGTCATCTCTGACACTTCTTGGCAGACAGCCTGCCTCTAATGGAATGTGTCCTGCAGCTGGGAATTAGGTCATCAGTAATTTACTTAATAGCATCTTATGAGCTGGGCTCTGACAAAAAAGAGTGATCTGGCCTTAACAGCAGGAGCTTTCCTTGATGTGAGGGGAAGGAGGGAGAAGAGTATAGCATTGTGAATAATCAGACACTACATTTCCTGAAAGTAATGGGTGAGGGTAAGAAAATCTGGGTGTTTCTTCAGCCTTCCTATGTGATCAGGCAAGATACATACCTTGGGCAAGGTACTTCTTGTTTCTGGACTTCAGTTCCTCTAAAGTCTTATTCAACTCCAATATCATATACTTCTAACTCTAAAGAACTCTTTTTGAAAATTAAAGGATACAGAATTTGACAGGTCATCACCACCTCTTCCCTGATGGTGATCTATGGAAGGGAAGATAGATAACTCCACTCTTCTGCCATTAGTGTGCTTTGAAAAGAAAAGCACTAATTTGTAGAGTTCGCTAAGTTGCCTGGTATAAGTATTCTCAACATGGCTGATTTCAAGCTATCAATGCTTTAACAACCAGCTAGCAAAATTTTTGAAAATTGAATGATTAATTTCTGTGAGCTGGTATGAGTTACTCCAGTATACCACTAGCTGTCTCCCATCTAGATAAAGCTGCATCAATGAATAGTCTCCCGTACGTAGACACATAGCTGCATCGTTCACACACTAAGATATGTGCCATATATATCTTTGTTTTGGTTTTGGATGAAAAGATATTCACAACTTCTCTTTGATTCTATTCCAATTGCTATTCTTAATTTATGTGAAGCCCTCTCAGAAAATATGTGAATTCTCATGAGGAAACTGTCAAGTTTATATAGCTCTTCATCTGAATTCCCATTTCTTCCACCATAGCTCTGATGCTCCCAGGGATGTTCAGGAATCCATTTGACCCTTCATATTTTCTTTTGACCTCTAGGACCCCATTTTCTTTCTGTTGGAAAACCCAATATGCATCTCATGAATGTTCAGAAGGTTCGCTGTTGCTATACAGGGTTTACAATTTGAAAAAGAATCACTGGAATCCTTCCTCCTTTTCACTGGGTGTGAGAGAAACCCTTTTGGGTTCTGAAATTTTAATATGCCAATTCTTCCAATTTCAAGAAAATTAGGGCTGGATACAGTGGCTCATGCCTGTAAAACCAGCACTTTGGGAAGCTGAGGTGGGTGGATCACCTAAGGTTGGGAGTTCCAGACCAGGATGGCCAACATGGGGAAACCCCCACATCTACTAAAACAAAAAAAAACAAAAACAAAAACAGAACTTAAAAAAAAATAACCAGGAGTAGTGGCAGGCACCTGTAATCTCTCAGCTATTTGGGAGGCTGGGGCAGGAGAATCTCTTCAACCCAGGAAGCAGAGGTTGCAGTCAGCTGAGATCATGCTACTGTACTCCAGCTTGGGTGACAAGAGTGAGACTCCATCTAAAAAATAATAAATACAGTTTTTAAAAAAGAAAATTGGAATGATTGGAGGTAAAATCAGTACCCAGAATGGCAATGGATACAATAATGAATCAGTTCTACTTTATCCCTTGAATTGAACAGAAAATACTCAATTAGCAACTATCTACTGAGTATTTACTACATGAACTAAGCACTGCAAACTATTATGAAATATAAGAGAAAGCATAAGCTATAATACTAGCCTTCAAATTTATAATTTTGTTGGGGACAAAAGATTAACATGCACAAATTAATGAAAATGAGTTAAAAACATGTTATAGTCAAGTGCTTAATGATGTGGCACAAAT